GGTAATAAGCATTCTCCATGAAATTGAAAGCACACAGTGTCGCATCGTGCACTCAACTCAGTAGCTGGGCAACGGAAACGGATTTCGCTGTTACCTAATTTCTTGTTCCATCAAGTTTCCACCTGGGTTTGCAACACAAACCCTCTACTAGATAACCAAGAAAAACAGGGTACACCACGTGAAGGTGAGGCAGGCTTGACCAAGAGAGGCTAAGAGTATTGTATTGCGTATCACTGCTCCATTAGTTCGTCCTAATACGAAGTCGGTTAGCTCAGTGGTTAACACCCTTGTCTGCGATCCCGGTGGTCACTCAGGTCCCTTTACACACCAAAGGCGCATCAGGCATATGAGGGTAAGCTGGTATATTTATCGACTAATCTATAGACGGGTGATGAGGGCAACATCACGAGCTCAATGGTCATAAATAGATTTGAATTTCTGTCAAAGTGAATATTTTTTGTTGACCTGTGCTCCCATGTCCTTAAGACTAAAATATAAAATAGTTATCCAAAAACAAATGCCCTATAAATTTAATGCAGCGGGTTGACCAAAACTGACCAAATAACGCTCCGAAATTAATTGATTAGTAAATGCATAAAAGTAAAAGTTAAGAAAAATCCTCTTTCAGGCCTTAGGCGCATCGGGCATATGAGAAGAGCATCCCAGATTTTTACATACCAATCGGCACTAGGTGCTAATGTGGTCAGCATTACGCCGGCCGTCTTTACTTCCCCAGGACAGCTATCCTGGTATCCATTTTAGGCTATACCATGATAAAAATCCACAATAAATGCTTGTAGCTTGGGTATTGTAGTAAACATTCTTCAAGGCGCGCATTAGTCGTGCACTGGCACCTTTTTATGACAACAAAGCTCAAGTTCTACTGTCTTCTTTATATCTTTTGTTCATAAATCTTTAAAATTGTTAGAGTGGGCTCTATCGTTTTTCATCGGATAGTGTTGTGAAATACTTCTTTTTCATCATCTACTTAGTAATCACCGACAAAAGCTTCTATGAACAGTTCTAATTGTTTGTTTATGTTTCCACTTGAGTCTTGCACCAGAATTTGCTCTTTGTGTGCACATTCAGTTTACTGATCTATTTTATTTTGTATGCAGTCTGTTGGTTCCTCGCCTGTCAGACAGATGTACGCCGACTTCACATGAAACTGTCCTAATTAGTAGCCTGTTAAATGAACCAAAATTGCTTAGTAAAACCAAGCAAATGTAGAGAAACGCGTCATTTGAGTCGACTTATAAAATGCATACAATTATTTTTTGTTTCGTTTTGTTTTTGCTTTTGTGACAATTCAAGTTTGAAACACCATTATTTGTGTAGAACATCGACTAAACAGTAACATGATCACAATGAGCTGAAGACACTCACCCATATTCCCTAGAGGTCCTGGTCCACCATGATACCCATTCATAGACGAGGTCCCGTACCCGCCATTGACGCTGTGTGGGGTGGATCCGTTGGAGCCATAGCCCCGCGGGGACACACTAGAACTCTGGGATCGAGTGTACCCTGCTGAAGATAACAATTATAATGTGTCACTCTGAAACATAAAAATTGATTGTTTTGCCCATTATTACAATGAGCATAACGTTACCATTAAATAAAATACATGTACTTTTCTTTTCTCTCAAACTAGTACATTTTGTTCATTGTTCAATTTTGAGAGCATCTTCATCGCCCTTCGGACGTGACCATAGGTTCTCCTTCTCCTCCTTGGTACGTTCCAAGTGTTTTTAGGCTGCAATCCCCATTCTGATCTGGTAGATTTAACCACGGGTGGCTCCCGCGTGGTTTTCCTGTCTTGGGGCTTCAGCTGCTACTTTACAAGCTATGCAGTCTATTCTGTGATAAATCATCTTTCATGACACTAAATGCCCCACAGTGTTTAGTCTCTCGTATGGCGTTGAGGATGTCTCTCCTGACAACAGAGGGCACATCCCTGATCGTCACACTGCTTGCCAGGGCGTCTGCTCTCTGCCTTTTACACCAGCATGCCCTGGGACAAACATGATGGTGATTTGCGAGACTCTACGCGCTGTGTCAGATGGAGCTACTGCTTCCATATGTACCCCGCTGTAGCATGGCAATTAAGTCGCTGAGAAAACAGGCATTGTTGAACTTCTGAATATTCAGCCATTCTAGGGCCTTTGTCACAGCCTTGACATCCATTGTCATGCTGCTGGTGGTTGAAGCAAGGGCTCCACTGTCTTCTTTAATGACTTTCCTTTTGGTTCTTGTCGTGAAAAGCCCATGCACTTCGCTTCTGATGAATCACAGAACCATCTATATAGATAACAGCATCCGTTGATTACTTCACAGGGGATTGTCTTTCTTCGCAATGACGTTAGAATGCATTGGATATTATCCACTGAATTATACACGCAGGCTGCTGTATGTTCATCTCGATGGTATCATTCCACTCGTATGGTTGTCAGTCTCTGGCCAGAACTTTCCGCCATAGTTCACACCCCCAAGAATTATTGGGCAAAAGTAATCAAGCTGTCTGAGTCCCCCACCCCCTCCCCACCCCCTCGTTTTCCCCCATGTCCCGGCGCCTTGTTGCTGCTCTCTTGTTAACAGATCAATCAACACTCACAATGTCATCCCGCTGACATGACTTTCTATAACATTTTCTAGTAAACAAGATTCAAGTATGATTAGCTGAAAGAATACACTGAGGCAATGAGCAAGCTTTACACATACAACGGTAACAGATACAGAGGTTGACTACGCAGAATATGGACCGCAGAAATATCAGAGACACTGAAAAGTACTTTACACGAAGCGAAGAGAAGTGCTCGTTCTAGAGATCTCTTCATGCCGTGACGCCGCAAGGCATTCCAGGAATAGTGAAAAGAAGAAGAATGAGCAAGTTTAATAAAAAAAATATTTCATAAGGTAAACTCTATCACAAAACATCCTGTAATAAGATAGCAGTATTGAACAAGAAGGGGATGAAACGTACCGTCGTTCTATTGAATGTTTACATCGGAATCACTAACACTGATACAACTAATGCTATATGATTGCAGCAATGAATCACGTGATATGTAAATCCCTAAGACTGATAAAAAATGTAATGTCACAAAACATTAGCAATGCGACACGAGTCGGATGACTTTTACCGTCGTCTAACTCCATGTTGACACCGGAATTGCTATCACTGACACAACAAAACGATGAAACAGGTGACAGTGGCAATATAGCAAGATTTGCACTGGCCTTTCCACTGGCTGGACAGTAGGGTTATGTGTTTCGGAAATGCATCAGCTAAGTGATTGTTGTGTATTCTTGTTTTTATTTGTTGTAGTGTGTTGATTTATGTAATCTGCTGAGTCACAACGTTCACTTGTCGTATGTGTTTGTGATATTGTGAAGCTGGCTGGTTCTTTTTTCGTTCAGTTTGATATTTATTTACAATATAGCAAGAGACAGATGAAGCTTGCCGTTGTCTCAATGTGTGTTGACACCCGAATCATCAATATTGACATAACAGGCAATGAAATAATAAAGGTAATAAACAAAAATAGGCGAGACTTACTGTCGCCCCACTATGTCTTGACCTCGGAATTACCACCTTTAACACAATGCTATGACCGGGGTGATGGAACATGCGAGAGTAAACTTACCGTCGTCCCATTGTGTGTTGACACCGGAATCACCAACGCTGACAGCCAGTTGGCTCGGGTAGGCGTTGAAGCCGGACATTGCTGAATTGTTCATGGCGGGGGACCGGGAGCTAGACAAGGATAGCTGGTTGGGGTTTCTGGGCATGCTGTATAAGGCTTCTGCTAGATCTGCTGCCCTTTTGAGTATGATCTCCTGCAGAAAAAGGCATTGTTACAGTTAACAAATCAATTAAATCAAACAGAAATAAACGTTAAACATTGATATTACTGCCTGTATTTAACTTTTTTTGCAGTATTATCAAGGAGTCTTTAAGCGTGACTAGTTAAGGCCGCATGGGTAGTATTGTCGCCATGAAATTTGCAGGTTGGATTGTTTTGTGGCCCTGACAGAAAAAAAAAACCACAACCTTAACGAGGACTCGAACCTGAGTCTCCCGTATTTGAGCCCAGCGTTCGTAACCATTCGACCAACCGCTCGTCATCGAGCTTTAACTTTATTGCATTGTCTAATCCCGTAAAGTCTATTCTCTCGAAGCACAGTGGCTAGCAACCAGCCCAGAGCGCAGCACAAAAACGAACTCACTGTCAGCTTGGATAGACGGGCAGACAGTGACAAATAAACAGACATTTTAACAGTCTGACAGGCAGGCATATTACCAAACAGTCAAATAATTAATTAGACAAAACAGAGGATGTTGAGCAGACAGACAGATGCAAAAGACGTCCTACTTTAGGTAATCGATCAGGATCACCCGGATGTCGAGGGACGAGTTTCATCAACCTCTGAAAGCCGTAGTCAATGGTGGGTTCTGTTAATGCTGAAGATAGAAACATTGAAAGTGTAACCACACCTGTGTACTTTCACAAAGATAAAAGCAGTAAAACTATACAGTCTAACCAAAAATTGTATACTTCCAAACACATTAAAAAAAAATAGTAAGATCAGACAAAGTGTGTGCAACCAAGACAAGACAAAGAGTGTACAACCAAGACAAGACAAAAAGTGTACAACCAAGACAAGACAAAGAGTGTACAACCAAGACAAGACAAAAAGTGTACAAGCAAGACAAGACAAAGAGTGTAAAACCAAGACAAGACAAAGGGTGTACAACCAAGACAAGACAAAGAGTGTACAACTAAGACGAGACAAAAAGTGTACAACCAAGACGAGACAGAGAGTACAACCAAGACAAGACAAAGAGTGTACAACCAAGATAAGACAAAGTGTGTGCAACCAAGACAAGACAAAGAGTGTACAACCAAGACAAGACAAAAAGTGTACAACCAAGACAAGACAAAGAGTGTACAACCAAGACAAGACAAAAAGTGTAGAACCAAGACCAGACAAAGAGAGTACAACCAAGACCAGACAAAGAGAGTACAACCAAGACGAGACAACGAGTGTACAAACAAGACGAAACAGAGGGTGTAAAACCAAGACAAGACACGCAATGTAAAACCAAAACAAGACATAAAGTGTAAAACCAAAACAAGACACATAATATACCAGAAAGACAAATAGTGTAGAACTAACACAAGACAGAGTGAACATCCAGGGCTAGACAGTGAGGGCACGACATTGGCTAGACAGAGAGCGATAATTATGTTAAGTTTTAATCAACTTTCACTGTGGAGACGGCGCCTGATAAATTCATTTCGCCCCGTTTGAATAACTTTCTATCCCCCTAGATTATTTCTTACTATGAAATATTGTCTGCATGCTCCCTTTGTCTAAATAATAGTTCAAGTTCAGTAATCACAAAGAGATATCCCATTCGAATTACATTGAGAACCCATCAGATTTCGGCCCCTCTGCCCCTCGCTAATTAGGAAATACACCAAGATTAAAGGACCTTAGACGAGTATGGAGGAGACAATGAGATGTTCGTGAGGCCAAAAAAGTTGTAGAGGAAACAGATCAATCGAAGAGAGTTAGGATGGGTCATAAATGCTGATACCCTGGGCTCTATTAACCCCTCATTCATTCACGACACTGGGATATTCTTCCAAAGCCGCCCAACCCAGAAAACGCATATCTCAGCTTAAGCTGGCTGGATCGGAGGTCTTAACTTCCCAGCTTTCTGAGTTAGGGCCTCGATGTCTGGATCTAGTCCTACAGACTCTTTCTAGCAAGTCTTTCCACTACTGACGCTTTCGAGCATTCTTCTTCTATATTGTTATTGTTGTTTTCCCCACATCTGCTTCTTCTTATTCCGCCACTGACTATTTAGATAATCATTTCACGAGTGCCTCTTTATCGCTAGTCCTTCAATTGCTTAACATGTATAGCTAGTTTACAACTTGATCTATTTAGCTAGTCTTATCTTTACAAATAAGCCTCTAATTACTGGACACTGTTAGCTAGTCATTTAATTACTCGACACTGTTAGCTAGTCTTTTCATTACTAGATACTGTTAGCTAGTCCTTTCATTACTCGACACTCCTGGACTTTTTAAAGGAAGCCTATTCACTTCTGACTCTTTCAGGTGGGACTTTTATTACACTTTCATTACTTATACTCTTTCACAATTGGATTGTAAAGGCGTCGAGGTGTGGAGGCTGCATTTAACTAGAATCAAGTTGAGGAGAAAGGGGATAAGGAAGATGAGGCAGATGACAGTGACAAAGAAGAAATATAGAATATTGTCTGAACGGGAGAGGGAAGAAGAAGATGATGAGAATAAAGCTAAAGAAGAGGAAAAAGTGAGAAAGTGAAAAAGAAAGTAGAAGAGACGGAAGGAAAAGAGAATAGTGTAAAAGCGAAGATAAAATAATGCGTAAGGACGATTTGCCGTGGTCAGTTGTGAAGAAAGGCAGTAAAGGTTTACACATTCTCACACATACACGCAGACTGACCTGTATAGACAAACCTGCCTGGAGCTCCCTTGCAGAACTGCTTCGACTTGTAAGACAAAGTCACCTCCACTACTCCAGGGATATGCCGGGGTGGAGTCTGCACTCTAATGGCGTGTGATGTTATTAACTGAAAGACATTGGTGATGAATTTAATGCATTGCTTTTCGATTCTCATTGTCTGTTATCGTAATCCCGTTCATTATAATCTTCAACATTAGCTTTTAGACATGTCCGTAAGCTTACCAAATAAATATTAACGAATTGGCAATGAAATGTGCATGTCTATATAGGTATCTATAGTTCATCATTATCATCATCTTTATCATCATGTGTCCACTTTTGCCATTAAGCGGCGTGGGGAGGAACAGTTTGCGATCCACTGCTTGATGGGCAGCTATGGCTATCATCATTCCGTTTCAATGAAGATACTCGTTAATGTCATCAATTCATATCCTCCTAGGGCGACTTCTGGTTTTCACATCAGGTCTGTTCGTGTGTAGCATATGCGTTGGTAGTTGTTCTGGCTACATTCTTACTAGGTGACCAAACTATCTTATCTTTGATTTCTCATTAAATTTGCTGCATAGTGAGGTTCCCACAGTCTGTCTGATAATATTTTTTTCTAACATTGTCTCGGATGGTTAAGTTGCCAGATTTTCTCAGGCATCTCATTTCACAGTGATATTGTGCATATATGGCACTGGTAGCACATAGTGTTGGTACGAATATGATGTTTATAATCTGTTTCTTGACGGTAATATTTATCTTTGGATGGCTTAACAACTGTGTCATTGTGAGGCACAGTATTCACTGAAGACGTTATACGTGTTTAATTCCTTCCAAGATATCATCGAGTAACGGGAAAATAAATAACGTGAACAGATTTTAACATGAATTATTAAATGATTTGAGTATTTTTAGAGGGAAACTAAACAAATTTCAATATTTAAAATGGAAAACTACTTGACCATTGTAATCCTGTACAGGACGTGGCAGAACCACCCCCAACAGCCCCTGGCTGTTGTGTGGTTTTCTAGGCAAATTTACGTCCAGTAGTTTGCCATTGCCCCTGGACGGTCGGCTTTCTTGATGCCACTGTTGAAACCAACGCACATGGCCTGCAGCTGGGATCGAACCCGACTTCGGGGCATTACGAAGCGTTCGCGTCGACTTAGCCAAGAGCCGACGATCATTGTAATATTACAATAATATGAGCTGGACATAAAAGCTGGTATACTTCGGTCACATGATCCACATGTTCCGGTTGAACATGATCATATTCTTGCTCTGTTGAAGGTGCTGAGCTGAAAGGCTGGTGATTTCTGGATTCTGTCGTAAAATGATCAAGACTTGAGTGACCAGCAGCAACCCCCCTCCCCCCTGCCTCTCTGTACAGATCTTTGATTAAATCAGGCAAAAGAATTCTTATTCTCGATGGGAACTTCGGCGTCAGCATCTGAGGTTTGAGCGTTTCATCGCGATTCGTAATTCAGAGGTATTGGCTCGATTCTAGCTGCGTGTGATTTAGCATCAGACCGCCCTGTGTTGAATCCGTCAAAGCATTTTTAACCGACAGTAAAGAAAGCGATGGCACACTACTAACAGTAAAATTGCTTAGTAAAACCAGAAAAAAAAATGCTGTGATGTGTTCAATGTAAAGAGAACTAAGAGACAGTACTTACCACAAAGTATTTAAAACAAGGGACCAGCACTCACCAAAAAGTATTTAAAACAAGGACCAGCACTCACCAAAAAGTATTTAAAACAAGGGACCAACACTCACCAAAAAGTATTTAAAACAAGGGACCACACTCACCGCAAAGTATTTAAAACAAGGGACCAGCACTCACCACAAAGTATTTAAAACAAGGACCAGCCCTCACCAAAAAGTATTTAAAACAAGGACCAGCACTCACCAAAAAGTATTTAAAACAAGCACCAGCACTCACCAAAAAGTATTTAAAACAAGGACCAGCACTCACCAAAAAGTATTTAAAACAAGGGACCAGCACTCACCGCAAAGTATTTAAAACAAGGGGCCAGCACTCACCAAAAAGTATTTAAAACAAGGACCAGCACTCACCAAAAAGTATTTAAAACAAGGACCAGCACTCACCAAAAAGTATTTAAAACAAAGGACCAGCACTCACAGCAAAGTATTTAAAACAAGGGGCCAGCACTCACTAAAAAGTATTTTTTTGTTTTTTGTTTTGTTTTTAGTATCCAGAAGCCATGAGTTGTTAACCCTTAGGCTCGGTATTATGGATATCGCAACCTTTCGGCCTTAATTCCATTGTAAATACCGTAAATCTGGGAGAAAATGTGGCTTTCCTGCCTACCCCCGGGATTGAACCCGGACCACAAGGAGTACGTCACCCGGTCTCCGCGAAATCCGGTTTAGCCAATTCCGCTAGAGAACCGGGCTCCAAAAAGTATTCAAAACAAGGGACCACACTCATCACAAAGTATTTAAAACAAGGGACCAGCACTCACCACAAAGTATTTAAAACAAGGACCAGCCCTCACCAAAAAGTATTTAAAACAAGGACAAGCACTCACCAAAAAGTATTTAAAACAAGGATTAGCACTCACCAAAAAGTATTTAAAACAAGGACCAGCACTCACCAAAAAGTATTTAAAACAAAGGACCAGCACTCACCGCAAAGTATTTAAAACAAGGGGCCAGCACTCACCAAAAAGTATTTTTTTTGTTTTTTGTTTTGTTTTTAGTATCCAGAAGCCATGAGTTGTTAACCCTTAGGCTCGGTATTATGGATATCGCAACCTTTCGGCCTTGATTCCATTGTAACTACCGTAAATCTGGGAGAAAATGTGGCTTTCCTGCCTACCCCCGGGATTGAACCCGGACCACAAGGAGTACGTCACCCGGTCTCCGCGAAATCCGGTTTAGCCAATTCCGCTAGAGAACCGGGCTCCAAAAAGTATTCAAAACAAGGGACCAGCACTCACCGCAAAGTATTTAAAACAAGGACCAGCACTCACCAAAAAGTATTTAAAACAAGGGGCCAGCACTCACCAAAAAGTATTTAAAACAAGGGACCAGCACTCACCGCAAAGTATTTAAAACAAGGACCAGCACTCACCAAAAAGTATTTAAAACAAGGGGCTAGCACTCACCAAAAAGTATTTAAAACAACGGGTCAGTATTAACCACAAAATGTTGAAAGCAAAGGACCAGCAATCACCACTTAGTGTTTTTGTAGTAGCGCTGAAAAACGATGATGCTTGAAAAACCGCTGGCACCATGTACTTCCAGAAAAAACATTCACACACACACACACACACACACACTCTCTCTCTCTCTCTCTCTCTCTCTCTTTCTCTCTCTCTCTCTCTCTCTCTCTCTCTCTCTCTCTCTCTCTCTCTCTCTCTCTCTCTCTACTATGTACCTGTAACTGTAGAAGAAACGACTACAGAGACAGAGAAAGGCTAAGTGAAGCTGGCGAAACTTACAACAACACAGGATCTTCATAGAGAGTAAAATATATGATACAAAGACGTTCCGATCACCTCCTTGTGAGATTCAATTTTTCGTTTTTTAAAGCCCCACTCTTGCTGTTGCCAGGTGTCGCGATATATCCTGACCATAAATATGGTCAATTTACTGAACGCGATTTCTGGGACCTCTCCACTGTGATCCTCATCCACATGGTGGCATTTTGTGTTATCAGATGTTTATCGCTTGTGTGATGTCCTGGTGGGGTAAAAATCTACTACTACTACTACTGATACAATGACGTCATCAGCAGAACAACACAAAACTGTGCGTCAAAGTCTGACCGTACATAATCAGCTAAATATATTTTCTGTTGGATCAACAATTGACAGACAAAGAAAGAGAAACCCATTCTAATTATGTTTACTCACCTCGCTCCAGACCAACATGGTACCAAAGACAACTTGAAGGCCATCAAAGAAGTTATCTCCGATGAGGATGACCGTTGTACCACCGGTTGTCCAACCTTCACTGGGACAAATAGCCTTGATGCAGGGTGTAGCTGAGGAAACATGCACATCAGCGATATCAAACATCAAGTAAACGCATAGTTATGTAGCCCACCTACGGAGATACGAGCATGGTGCGACACCGTGAACTGTAGATTTCATTTTGGATGGTTTTGGACTGCCCACGATGATTTCGGTTGAGAGCTACAGATTTGGACAATGGCGAGTGGCCTGTTACCACAAAACTCCTGGTGCCTTATGCAAAATTGTGTGTTCAGCTACTAATTTGTTGTAATTACTCCTTCCACCAACGTGTAACTGCAATTCTAATGGCGGGGTGTTTGCGTTGGCACTCTTAATCACTGCCTTAAATATTCAATGCGCTCCAATGCTATGTTATCGACCTTGCCGGGACTGAAAAATGTTTCCGTTTCCTTGCAAGAGGCAGCAGCGATGGGCTTTGTATAGTTTTCTCTGCCACAGTAACGGTGCAATAATGGCGTGACCAATCTGCCGTGAAGATGTAACTGTGATTAACCGACCAAGTAAACTTAGAGACAAAGGTAGCTCTAAAGCGGGGGACTGCTTCACCTTAAAATTGCTTTAATGATGTTAGTAAGGCTGACAAGGGCTCCGCACTGAAGAAAACAGGGGGTGGGGGGGGGGGGGGAGGAATGGGGGAGAGAGACTCAAGAAACTGTTTCCTTGTTTAATAGCCCAATCATATATATAATAATATTCTTCTTCTTCTTCAGCATCCCGAGCCCTTGAGGTTCATTGCTACCGATATCACCCGCCTCCATTAATCTCTCCGGTTGGCCTTCTCTTTCCAGTTGGTGACATCAAGTTTGCAGGTCTGTCTGGATGTTATCTCTCCATCGTTTTCTTGGTCTGCCTCGTCGTCTACGGCAATTCATCTCCCTCGTGTATACAGTTTTTACTTCTCTGTCATCCGAAATCGAGGCTTAAATATCTGTTTCGTGGCCAGATAAAGTTTTATAAAGGTGGGGGTGTCGGCCCTACGCTTTAACCCCCAATCTCGAGGACCAGGGTGTCTCTTTTTATCTCTACCCTTCGACCTTTCTGGCTATGGGCGCCCTGCTGTTAGCTACTTTAAAGTAATCTGAAATATATAAACAAATGCATAAAAGAAAAGACCTATACGGGGGGGGGGGGGGGGGGGTGGTTGATCCGCTCTCAAAAAGTGATTTTGGTCTGTTTGGGGGGTGTGGGGGGGGGGGGGGGGGGGGGGGGGGGGGGGGGGGGGGGGGGGGGGGGGGGGGGGGGGGGGGGGGGGGGGGGGGGGGGGGGGGGGGGGGGGGGGGGGGGGGGGGGGGGGGGGGGGGGGGGGGGGGGGGGGGGGGGGGGGGGGGGGGGGGGGGGGGGGGAGTGTTCAGTCCTCGTTAAAAATTTCGGAAAGGGGGCCTGAATGTGCCTGTTGTGGAATCTCCTGTGAAAAAAAGGAAAAAAAAAACATGAATATATCAGATCAAAAAATATATAACTCACCTCCTTCTGTAGGATCCAATCTCCTGGCTCGTCGGCCGTGCTTGGAGTTATTATGTACAAACATGTTGTCAGAGACGGCTAACAACGGCCCGTCAACAGCGGTGGAGGTGGAGATGGCTACCTAAGAGAAAAGTATGATGTGCACTTCATCAAAACATCATCTGTCTCATATCTGAGTTCGCGTATTTTCAGTCTGCTTTATACTTTTTTCAAGCATTTCATTATATTATATATATATATATAATCACGTTCTTTTTCCATTAACATCAGCCTACCTTCTACTTCTTAAAGTCCATGCCCTGTGGCGTTGGTAGTCATGTCTACCACAACCTTCTGTCTCGTTGCTTTCAATCAACTCTGACACAGATGGTCCACCATCCCATGATGTCAATCATCTTTTCTCTGGTCTCCCTCTGCCTCTCCTCCTCCTTTCCAACTTTCCTACTGTCACGATGTAGTCCAGTTTCTCCTTTTCATCACATCACTAAAGAATGTGATTATCTCTTTCTGATGTGGGCAATCAGTTCTCTTCGTGCGTCAGTTTCTTTCAGGATGTCTTCATTACTCTTTTCATCTATCCAGGGTATTCTCATCATTCGTCTTTATAACCACATCTCCGCAGTTTCCAAATAAGCTTTCACTAATCTACCAACAGACCACCTACATCGAACTGTTCCGTAACCGTTTTGTAGTGCCCCAATATCTATGTGCTGTATGGCTTATACGACTGAACGGGTTCTCAGGTACCTGTTTGATTTTTATCATTGATGTGTTAATTAAATTTTGGTGAAGAAAAACTTTAGGAAAAAAATACGTTGCATATTACATGTTTCAATCCGTGTCAGTTCATATCGGCGTCTGTCTTAGCGGTGATGAGCGCAGTTTCATAATTCCAATAACCTATGCTGGATATATTTGCAAAACAAGTGGTAATAGACCGCCCCTCACTTTCCAACAATACTAAGAGCGTCGACCTTGAGTGGGCAACGGCAAACAACTTAATGTAAAACCGCCATATTCCCTGTGTGGTTTTCCGGGTTCCCATTGTAGGGGAAACAAAATAGACTCACTGCCTCTCCAACAAGCATGTCGTAGGAGTCGACTAACTGGGGACTTCCTTCGAAGTCAGAGGGCATTAGCCAGAGCGGCAAGGAGCTGTCAACTGCACACAAACAAGCCAGTAAAAAGGATGTACACGCACAACTCACGTCCTGGCACAAAGCCAAAGCCCGAATGGACGAAGAACCAAGACTTTCCGCCGGAGTTTTACTGCCGTGAACAAAAAGGAAAGAAAAAAAAAAAAAACCGCCATATAAAACCGCTAACAGCCAACAAGTGTCTGCTCTGGTTGCGAGGTCCGGTAAAGAGTATTTAATTATCTTTTATAATCATCTTTTTTGCGTGAATTCATGGGCAGACTGTGAGCCGCCTTGGTGAAGAGACTAGACGTTGGCCTGCGAATTAGAAGATCATGGGTTCAAATCCGAACTAAACTGGACTTAGTTCAAAAAAGGATCTTGACTCCCAGGTCGACCCAAACTGAAATGGGTACCAGGTGAAGTCCTGGGAGATAATAACGCCTGGCGCGATGTTGACCAAATCGCCCATTGAGTTATTTTTATTATGTCTAATGGCATAAAAAGGAATTTACAATATATAATTGTGGATATCCGTGGCTTAGACGTCACGAGTTGGACTCGTAATTCCAGCGGACCGCGATCGAAACCCACTGCTGGCTGCATGGATTTTTATCTTGGTATGGGGCCTCGCAGGTCGATCCAGCCAAAAATGGGTACCAGGACGTATGTCCTAGGGAAGTCAAGACGGCCGGCAAAATGCTTACCAAATTACTCACATATTGCCGATATTTCTGTAAAAATCTGGGTGCTCTACACATATGCCGATGCGCCTCAAGGGTGCGTGAAAAGGGATCTTTACTTACTATAGATGTATCCAACATCCCCGAACACGTAGAAAGTAGCTTTTACTTCTTACATGGAAATATTACTGTCAATAATATGTATCTCAGACCCGCATTTCTGGTAGAAATTATTTACTTCTCAATGATTTTTGGATTTTAAACGAGAAATTACAGCCAACTGAGTTCAGCCTTTTCTAGGCTTGTTTTTTATTTGAAGCTCTTTTATATGACATGATATATTAGGTCTCCTGTCAGCTCTCACGAATTGTCTCTTACGACATGCATGTTGAAACAGTGCTGCTAGTCTGTGCTTCTGGCATGCGCTACGGTGATACAGGAGCTAATTTGGTACTGGGTATTTACACTTGACGTTCTCCAACTGAGGAATACTTATTCTGTTTATCTGAAAGTCAGTTCTGCGAACTTGAGAAAGAAAACTAAAGCTAGTCCACACACATCACAAATAACAAGAAACACAAATAATACAATAACTTTATTTCTTCTTTCTTTAGGCGTTCTCTGGTTTTAAACTCCAGCGGAAAATTCTGGCTGTTCGTCCGCTTCCGGACTTTAGTATTGTCCCAGAATTTGAGTTCTGCGTGCAGATCCGTTTTATAGATCTGACTTATTTATATGCAGACTGCTTGTTCCTCGTATCTCAGGCAGATGCATCCCAACTGAATGAAAACCTATAATTAGTCGATTTTACGACATGCTTGTGAGGGCGCAGTAGTTCTTATCTCCCCCCCCCCCCCACAAGTGGGAGTCCTGGAACCCACACAAGGAAACCACATTAATAATAGAAGTGGCTCTTAATCTTCCTAATGCGGCGACCCTATAATAGAGTTCCCTCATGTTGTGGCGACTCACAAACAATTATTTTCCTTCATAACTTTAAAGAATATGTGTTTTCATATGGTTTTGGGCGACCCATGCTAAAGGGTTGTTGGACCATAAAAAGAGTCGCGGCCGGCAGGTTGAGAACCGCTGAACTAGAGGATATTATCTTACTCACTACCTGAAATCTCCTCATGTCTCTTGGGTTACCGGCGTTCTTGAGACAATTTTGATTGCACTTCATGAAGAATTTGAGGAAAAATCTGAAACAAACATAATAACTACGATATTAACCCACATGAAAGCACATAAGAAATAATTTACACACACACACACACACACACACATACACACACGCGCGCACGTACACACACGCACGCACGCACGCACGCACGCACACACACACACAGAGAGGTTCAGAAAATCAATCTTTCTTTACCTCCTCAGTAAAGAGTATGTGCATGTTGGCGTCTGTTGCGAACGAGCTTCGTAATGTCGGAGTGCTGGGTTCGATCCCAGCTGCATTTTGCCTGGACAGAAAAAAATCTCCATCCCTTACCGAGTAGTGAACTCTGGTCTTTCGCATGAGAGACCAGCTCTCTAACCTCTCAGCAGCCAAACAAGCAACGAAACGCTGCATTTTCTGACACACGACGGTACGAACTACGAGTGTTAGCACACTACTTCAAACAAAGAGTAAACAATATCCCTGCTCTCGCTCTACAAATCTGTCGGACTATTCAGTTACAACAACAACAACAACAACAAAATAAAAGAGACTCACAGCAGGGTATTTTGCGAGGCAAGTGAATTTTTGAACAGACACCGGGCGATTTAAAAAAAAAAGGAGATCGCGACAACTTGGATAAAACTACACAGATACACAACTCAAACAGGAAGAGTGGTTTAACAGCTGGCTGAAATTTTGGCGTTAATTCTTCTTTTTCATCTTCTTCAGCATTCCGAGTCCTCGAGTTTCATAGCTCTGATATAGGGTCACCATAAATTCTGAGCTAAGAACAGAATATTCTGTTTATTTTGTGAGATAAAAACGGGAAACCTAAGGGAAATGAGTTTACTCCCTCCCCTCCCCCATTTTTTTAAGGTCACCGGAGTTTTTCTTTTTCGAAACTTTTGTCATCAGGAGGACAGTATCCTTGATGAAAGCTACCGTGCAGGGTGAAATGGTTAACTACGTGCTCGACAGTGGCAATAAAAGCTGAACTATTGCCACCTATAAAAATAACTGCACTGAAAAAAACACAGTATAAGTTATGAGTTAGATTATCTTCACAGCACTCCGGACATATCCATAGACGCTCAGATTCCACTCCCAACATATCTGTCAGCGTCGCGCAGTTAAAAATACCAGTTATGTGTTGGTTACCAAGACTTCGTGTGCGTCCGGTGTGCTTCTCATGCTTGGCTGTTCTGATCTTTACTGCCTATTCTCGTATTCTTAGCAGTGATGTGGACACATTGCTTCCAAAATTCTTAGAACGTCCTATCTCTCTAAGGGAAATGATAATGTCTGTGTGTTCCATAGACCGGCCATCTTCAATTATTGCAGCACCTGCCAGTCTATCAGCTCTTTCATTACCAGCAAGGCCTGCATGCTCTGGGACGAATATGAAGATAACTGCACACACAGGAGAATTTTGCAATGACTTAAACCACTGTCTGCATAACCAGCCAGCCTCGACCCGCCGAATCATGCTCAAAGATTCATTCAGCACACACGTGGGAAAAGTCCTGTGATTCTAGTAGCCACATGAAAGCTTTCAAACGCTACATGAATATTCACATCAACACATTTTAAACATTAATAGTATCTAAGGCTATATCTAAACATGTCTACAAATACTGGTGTATGTTTCATTCTTGAGCTGTTTCTTGGACTGTTATAAAACAGGACAAATGGCGTTTGTATGTGTAAGGGTTACCGACAACAGTATATATCGGTCTGTCTGACTTTTACTGTATACTTGTCTATCTGTCGGCCACTCTGTCTGCAGACCTGGCTGTCAGTCTTTCTAAATGACTGCCCACTGATACATACATTCATCTGTTATGAATGACTGCTCACTGATACATACATTCATCTGTTATGAATGACTGCCCACCGATACATACATTCATCTGCTATGAATGACTGCTCACTGATACATACATTCATCTGTTATGAATGACTGCCCACCGATACATACATTCATCTGCTATGAATGACTGCCCACTGATACATACATTCATCTGTTATGAATGACTGCCCACTGATACATACATTCATCTGTTATGAATGACTGCTCACTGATACATACATTCATCTGTTGGCTTGTCAATGCAACAATAAATTTCCACCTACCTACCTAGCTGGCTTTCTGACTATATGCTTACATAAAGTTAGTTGCGTATCCTTCACAGGGCGTTGCAGTACCGATTTTTTGGCTGTTGTGGTTTTTCTAGGCAAGTTCACGTCCATTAGTTTGTCATTGCTTTCTGGACGGTTGGCTTTTCGATACCACTGTCGAAACCAACGCAAGGCGCAAGGCCCGCAGCTGGGATCGAACCCTGCACCCCGGCATTACGAAGCGCGTTTGCAACGCCTAAGCCGCAGACGCTTACATATCTCCATTTAAAAAAAAATATATTGTATTGCCTATTTTCTAAGTATCACACTTTCACAATATCATGTATACATATATTTATAAGTATATATACACACCCATTATTGAATGTTTCTCTCTCTCTCTCCTGTCTCTCTCATGTCTCTCTCTCTCTCTCTCTCTCTCTTTCTTTCTCTCCAAATTTTAAGCAATATATTTGTATGCAAGTTAGCATTAAACTCGCGAGCAAGTTTTACAAGATCCAAATATCTAAGTATCACTCTGATCATTTAGTGCTACTACAAATTGTCACTATATTACTGTGTTGTGCTCCCCTTCCAACCAGCACACAGAATCAACCGTGGATTTTCCGTGAACTATCAAACCAGATCAAACATAAAACCGTGCATGAAATGGTGTGGTTAATTCCAGCGTCGACATTACACCACACTGATTCTAAGTGAATGCTCCGGGAAGCATTATCAAATCGACGGGTGTGAAACTCCAGCTTCTGCAAATATCCCAGATTTAGCCAATAAATGTGTCCAATGTCTGACCCTCATAAGTTTGGGTTAAGCGGGCTTCTCCAGTAAACCTTGGACAATCACTGCAAGGCTACAGATCTACCCGTCTGTTAATTATCGGCCTCCCTTTGTGTTTACGACGGAGCAGAAGTTGATATCGATTTTATCTTCCCGCCTCTGAGACCAGTGACCTTGTGGCAGACGGACAGGTCTCTAGGGAAAAGAAATAACTTCCGGCCTTTGCAGTGAGTTTATTTTCACCAGGTTGTCTTGTTTCTGCAACTAGGATTCTTCGCAAAAGGGAAAGCACGCAGATAAGATAATACAGTGCGTGCATTCTTCACAATGGAGGTTGGTTACAGAGTACCCACTGCTGTTTTCATGAACATTACGTGCAGAGGCAGAAGCCTCTTTCACGGTGCGACATTCTTTATTTGTGTCTGATAGCAACTGATTACTGATTAAAGAATCGACATCATAGCACATTGGGCACCCAAATAGATGCTTCGTCTCTCGCAGAAAATGTCTTTAGGTGAAGTTGCTAACTTTTTCCGTAGCACACTGATTATACACACGTCGTTCTCTTCCTCCCATTTGTCCCTCCTTGCAGGATTCATATATATAATTTATCGTCACATATTTTTGCACATGTTATTTCATATAATCTCGTTTCTTCTGTTAACAGTCTTTCATATATAGCATATGGTCTTCAGAATATCTCCCTTGTCCCCTACGCGTGTCCGCGTAGCTTTCCTCCTTGTAGCCGGGAAATCCGCTCTTTCATTCCCTCACACTCCTGCATGACTCAGACAGTATATCCACGTGACTAAAGTAGCAGCCAAAACAGTTTTCCTCCTTAAAAGTTTCCCTGCGAACGTTATAATCAGTTCCAGAAGTCATGGCTAACTTGAGAAATATGGAACTCAGCAACCGTTTGATGCAAGTTGTCGAACTAAGTCATTAATCCTGTTAATAATCATATTCTTGTTAGAATTTTTTTTTAAATGTAAACAAACATCTAGTTTTCATTTTGGCTTTTTTGCGGTAAATGAAAGAACAGACACCGATTCAGAGCAGTCGGTATGCTTACACTAACGAGTAAATTGAGTAAGCGGAAATTTTCAAAACATTAAAATGCATGCCTGTAAAAGGCGTTTTACATTCTCTAGCATGTCTCCAAGGAGTTGTGAATTGTTCATTAAGTTCTTTCACAATAATCACCACGCATTTCCAAGCGATACCCACATGTGTGTAAATTACTGTATATACAGCTTTTTTTTTTCTTTAGGGGTAGAGAAAATGTTACCCAAACAAAGATCAAAGAAATTCGCCACTTTAATAATATAGCAGCATCCGCGCAATAGTAAATTATAGAATTACACGGACATGGGGATTCTAAGGCCACATGCAAAAAATCGTGTTAATCCGCCCAGGAGTTTTTGAGACATTTGTTAAAGCACGAGCATGAGTTTTGAAATGCAAAATAGAGCTCAAGGAATTGTTTAAAAAAAAATAGTACGTGGAATAAGGAGTGAGTCCGGCAAGGAGGGGTAAATGATATGTAGGAAACGACAGTATAATCAGTGTACTACGGGGAGAGTTAACATCTACACCTTAAGACAGTGGTTTGCAACCGTCCTAATGCTGCGACCCTTTAATACAGTTTCTTATGTTGTGGCGACCCTTTGTGGCGACCCTTTAATACAGTTCCTCGTGTTGTTGCGACCCCTAACCATTCAATTATTTTCGCCTCTTCTTTGTAACTTTAATGAATATTTATTTTGCGGTGGTCTTTGGCGACCCCCGTGAAAGGGTCGTTCGACCCACCAAAAAGGGTCGCCACCCATGGATTGAGAACCGCTGCCTTAGGACATTTACTGTGGGAGAAGAAGCACCTATGGGTATGCCCGGTGTGCTGTGATGTGGATGATTAAATCAGTAGTTATCTTCTTCTTCTTCTTCTCTTTCACCTTGTACCTCATCGAAGTGTCGGGGGAGATGTAATGTTCGTTGATGAGCTCTGTCAAGAGCACTATTAAGATTGATGTTCATTTCTGTAAGGCTGTTCTTAAAGCCATCACTCCATATGTTCTCTATATATTCTGAGGTCTTCCACTCGCTCTATACCCGTTGTAG